GTTATTCCTTGAACTCTTTCAGTCTTGGTGGTCACTGTAACTAACCACCTTTTCTTAGAAATTCAATTTTTGAAGTATGCTTCAAATTACTTTGCATTGGTTTTTAACCATTTCAGTATAATTGAATAAATTATATTCGTAACCAGTCAAAAGTGTGACTAAAAGAGTTAAGTTGTAACTTAGGTTGTTTTGTAAGTTAAGTTTATGGCTCTCGTTTTTAATCATCGGCGTTGGAAAGGCTAGCCCGTGGCGTTTTCGCTCTATTGTTCTCGTGGGTGCCTAGACTCTGGACTTAAATGGCTAGTCAACCACGTAGAAAGACTTTACACGTTCTACTTTGCAAACTTACTTTGTTTTATGTCTAATCTTTTCCAAATTAACCGTCTTTTATTTTCACTCCAACTACACTCTGTTCTATGCTGTTGTGACACACTTCTAGTTGGTGAGTTTTTTTAAGGAGGGAAAATCATCGATTGACTGCTGTCTGTGTCAGACTCTTACTGACTAAAAACCACCCCGTTCCTTCTCCTGCACGTCGAGCCGGAGCCCCGGTAACCCGTTAGGTTCTCCGTGACTCAGCGCAAACGTTGTGAAGATGATATTAGACAAGTCGCACGGTCAGAATGGACTCGCACAGCTAGAGGTATGAGTCATGGAAATGTTTGGAGGAGATCTATGTCGTGGGACAAACTATAAGAAAAATAACCCGATCGCCGATATTTAATTTAAATAGTTATAGTACAAAAAGAATAGTGCAAAAGTTTCATAGATTAGTGTAACATACTGTATAGAAAAACTAACAGCAATAAAGGCTTATTTTATTTTATGTAAGTATATGTAGGATTAAAGGTGGTATCTAAATAATCTTAGAAAGTATATGTAACTCGGAAAAAGTCACATTGGAACTTGCCGTTAGTAGGTTTTGAACCCACACCATCATGCATGAGAAGCGGGCGTCTTAAACCTCCGGGCCACCACGACATGGCACCATGGCAGCGGTCCTTTAGACAATTTTAATTTAAATGTAATAGACACACTAACCGGCGACTATCTCTGTATGCACCATAAAAATGCACCCAAGGACAGTCCCCGGTTAGTGTAGAACTATTGTGGCTTTCAGATTAGTAACAAAGAAATGCTGTAGAAATGTCGGTATTTTTCTAGATATTTGTAAGAAATAAGAAAGCGAGAGCTTTCTAGTAGTATTTGTTGTAAGAATTGGCCACCACCATTTTAAAATGAAATCGGTTAGGCGACTATTATAATTCTGAAAGTAAAACAAAGTACTACGCACATATGCGTATCAGACTTTATATAAAACCAATATTCACCAAGAGAGACTTAAATTTTCTGTTAACACACAAAAGCACCTAATAGAAATTATGTTACTCATTATTGTACAGCAACGTTACACTCTCTTCCTGTCAATAATTATGTGTAGTAAAGCAAAAGTAAGTAAGTAAACGCTTTCTCTCAAATGTGTGACGCTTTACGATTGAATGTGAGTTTAATCTTCACACGACAAGCAACGACTGATGATCTTAAACCGACAAACTCACACACAGATATCCATACATGTGCGTTCAATTTAATAAAATTGCTCATTTCGTGTTTATTAAATACCATTCTACTAACCTAAATTGTGCGCCAACGGACTAGTAAGAGGACAGAAAGTTAAAAAGTTCAATTACCAATTTCTCTTTCATCACCATGTCCGATTGATTTTTCGGTTCGTCTTACATACCTATTACGTGGCAGTTAGAGAGTGCACATTCAGTTGTCAAACGTTTCAATGAAAGTAATTGGAACCTAAGACCGGCAATTTTTATCTGCATTTTTTATGCGTACGCTACAGGCCACACATCAATCAATAAATATAAAAAAGTAGTTAACTGTAAAACTTGGAAAGTAAAGAAAACGTTAACTTAATTAGGTATCTATAATAGGACAGATTATCAGAAGTAAATGCTTGAGTAAAGTTAACCCATGAAAGCAAATCGAAATGCCTATGGCTTTGTATTGATGTATTCAACTATCGGCAATATAGATACATTTTTTTTGTAAATAAGTGAGCATCTATATAGATGCTAATCTCGTAGACTCAGTGGCACGTGGTCATTTGGAACTAAGAACATCCAATAGATAAAGGGGTTATTCTACAACTTTTGATGTTTTATCTGATTTAAAATTAGTAAGTAAATAAAATAGATGCCTCAAAAAATCACATTCTTGTGAATTCTTGTCTTCTATTATAATATAAGTACCTTACATCTTAAAGAATACATACTTCAGTACTATTATATTTCGGGCATGTTGCCAAGAAAGCAAGCTGACAACCTGGAAGCTCATCACGGCTCATGGTCACCGATTATTTAGAGGGCAAAAGAGTAATAGGTTCAAACTAATACATAAAATTCACTGGATAAGACTAAGTATTTAAAATAAGATTGCATGCCATCGAGAAATATCATTTATGTTGCTTCATCGTCTTGAAAGGTGTTGAATTGTGTGCGAGCATGCTTGTTGTAATTTGAAATAATTACCGTATTATTTAAGAAAGAAGTTAATAAACACCTGAGGCGTGATAGTTTGTAAAACAAATCTATTCTGCACTGTATGAGTAGCTACGTGCGTAGAAACTGCGAGTGGGTTTGCTGGCGGAACGTAAATAGGCGAAAATTTCTTACATAACCTCAGAAGATGGATGTTCTTTTCAAATACATTTTAAGAAATTTTAACCTTCACGATTGCACTAAAAATTTGTTACAGAATCTTTAGAGAGTACTTGAATTCCTAGCTAATAATTAGTAAGTACTTGAATATTATAAATACACATAATATGCATAATCTAAATACTAGACAAACAGAGCTTATTAATAGAAGGTGACGTCATGTACGTGATATATTTAGGAAGCGGTAGATAGGCACATACGTAGATTATATCTGTCTACGTCTATAATTATACCACCTCTTGCGACGAGCAGAAATAGCGCAAATCTCAACCTAACAGAGTGATACTCTTACGATTGTCTGCGTAAATCGGATTTACAAAACTATACAGGCAGACTTGTGTACATATTCCTAGATTCCGAAAGAAAGCAAAAATTTTATGAAAGTTAGATAAATTATTGAGTAACCGCTATT